ATCTTCTAGAAAAGAATTGCGCATCTTCGCTAAAGATCTTCGACTAGTTTTATTCTTACACCTTCCACTTCTACGCTAACACTCTTCATTCTTGTCTAGAGTCGTTTATAGAAAGAAATTGACAAAGATGTTGATTCAATGCTTTAAGACAGCTTTGTAGTTGGCAACGATCCTCGAATAGACTTTCAGCTGATTTTGACCCTCAAAGATGCAAGTAGTTTATTAACCTTCCCTAACTTTATGTTTATTCAAAAACATGTCAAAAACTGCTTTTAAAGGAGAAAAAATGGGTTAGAAATATTGCTAACACAAAAGGTTCTTAGGAAAAAGGCATGAATGCGTAAATTGAGAAAAAAAAACAGCAATAAGCCTAGCGTCAGCCTATTACCATGATTTATCACTACAAGGATCGCTTCGTGAACAGTTTTGGCGAGTAAAGGTGTTGAATCAAATCAGTTAGCGTAAATTCCTTGTCCTTTTGGATGTTGCCAATTTCTAACAATAGTATGGAATTGCAATTGCTTGGCACTGGATTCATACATCAGGATAAGTAAAACTTATTGTGAGAGATTGCCGGTCAGGATATCATAGAGGTTTCTTAAAATTTTTTCGTAATCTGATCGAACTCAATAATCTGATCTTAATGGATCTATTCCATCTGTGAAAATGTTTATGTTCTATTTTATCGTATTTTTGAATGCGGACATTTGGTTCAGTGTTCTGGAGGATGTAAAAATGGCTCCACATGAGTTCGGACGGATGGTGGAAATGTGTGCGGATGCATTTTTCATAGAAGAAAAAGTTTGTCAGGGCCGCTTCAAGCAAGTTTTCCTGCTTGTCTACTTGGGTGTCCTATCACACACTAAAATCGTATTGGCTCTGCTGGTCACAATGATGTCCTGATTAACGGATGCTTCAACATGAAAAGTGGCTTGAGGTGAACAGTAAACAAGTGCCAGCATTCGTAACATCATCCGTCATTGTTGTCAGTGATTCATTCTGATTTACGTTCCTGGACATGAGCATGGATACTGGCTTTCCTGTAGTATAGTGGGTGACATGCGGCAATGACTTGGGCGGCGTCTACAAAATCCCCCAATTGAACAACGATGCGGTGGGACAGGAGTCATCATTAGAGACTTGATTGCTTGAAGCTTGTCTAAGGGCTTCAGTCTTGTAGCAGAAAACGTTCCAGCAAGCTACCCATTACAGTTCCTGGTACTATACGAGTCCAGTCATAGCATTAGTAATCGTGACGCTAAAATAGCATGCTAGTCC